AAGATAGGAGTAATGATAGTACCTACCCTATAGGGTGGTTCTGAAATTACATTCATCAATATATATTGTGTTTAGATCACGAGTAAGCACTAAGGTGTTAACTATCATTACCACTTCTAAAAGTCTATGATTCTGATTCTCTTCTCTTTTTTTATGGTCTAACAGAAAGAAAGAAAATCTTATAATGCATTTAACTGGTCCTTAACCCACCTACTATAATTACAAAGTTTTTCAACAATAAAAACAATAGATAATAAAGTTAAAGTGAGTGTGATATTATAAAGTGATTAGACTAACATCTGTCACTATTATTTAAAAGTAGTGAATATTAGATTGAAATGTAGCTGAATCTCTCAGGTAAGAAAAAATAAAATTAAATTGGAATTTGGTCAGCAAACAGATTCAAAAATTGATGTGTCTCCAGCTAAATAAAGAAAATTGCATTAAAATATAAACCAGAACACATTTAGCTACTGTTCAATCACTACTACTTTCAAAGGCAATTTACTTAAGCATACCTATTTACTAATCAAATATACTCAAATAAGAAATAAAAGATAAAACAAGGACTGAAGAACTTAGAAAAATATTAAATAATAACTTTCATACCAAGATATTCTGAGAAATTTTATCACTACTAGAGACATATGAAGGTACTTCAAAAAGTTCATAGAAAGACTCTTTTATCTTTTAATTCTATTTTACCACAAACTTTCTGAATTACCCTCATATTTAGGGCACTATTTTTCTAATTATTAAAATCTATTAAAGCTGTCCCTATACTTTTGTTTCTTTGGAATTAAGTTATGCTATATAAATTCATGCATTCTTATTATATGTATAAAGTGAGCATCATAAAGCATTTCCTGGGAGACATCTTTAATAAAATGTAGTATGGTACAGTGGTGCAGAATGTGGGCTCAAAGTATCTGTCATCCTTGTTTGCGACAGAACTACAGTACTACAACTTCCTACCTGAATGACCTTGGGCAAATCATTACCTTCAATTTTCTTATCTGTAAAATGGGGGTGATAGTAGTATAAACCTGATAGAAGTGTTGTGAGGATGAAATGAGATAATGCATGTAAATTAATTTAAGTAAATGGCTGGCATATAATAAGCATTTAAAAGAGTTAGCTACTATCATACAACTATTATTAGTATTAGCTCTTTACTTTTCATTTCTAGGGTCATCTCATATACTAGGTTCCCAGTATTCCCCCTCATCTACTGTTCTCCTAGATCTACATTTCCTATCTCGACATCTCCTAAGTTTTTGGCCACCACAAACTCAATATGACTGCAAACAAACATGTATTCCCTAAATTTATATATGCCTCATCCTACTTTTTCTCCTATGAACTCTAATCATCACCTCCTCAAGTTGAAACTTCAGTGAGTTGGCCTCAATTTTTCCTTCGTCTCTACTTTCAATTCTCCACCAGACTATTCTAAGTTTACCTCAACATTTCTTCAGGACAGTCCTGTTCTTCTCCATCTCAAATGTAATAGGCCTGACTCTTATCATCCTTCACCCGGACTAATTTAAGAAACTTCTTCAAGGAATGCACACCACCATATATTGCATATTCTATTTCAACCTCCAAATTGCCATCAGCTTTACTACTAAAAAACATATCCAATCAGATTAATTTCCTGCATGGATATCTTTGCTGCATCTACTCAATGCCAACAAAATAGATGTCCTTCACCATCTGGCTCCAGTCTCCTTTTTCAGGCCTCACCTTCTACTAGTCCCATCCTGACTATAATCATTTCCAGTCCTAATGAATACTCCACATTTGCTATGTCTCCAATTCCTCTTTGCACATATGATATCACTGCCTGATATGCCTTTTCTGTCCATCAGCTCCCTTTTTTGCAAATTAAACTCCCTCCAAATGTCATCACTCTGAAATCTTTCCTGACTACTATAAGCAGTTAGTCATAGCTTTTTCTGTTCTCCCACAACATTCTGTTCCTGTACATTTTAGCACATAGCACACTGTATTATGAAGCTCTCTTTACATATCTGTCAATTCCACTAGACTGTGAAATCTTTAAGAATAAAGACTGTCTTATTTTGGTTGTTGTTGTTAATACCCATCACTTTAGAACATTTGCTGGCACATTAATAATATTGAATGAATTACTATAATTAAAATTGGCTCTGCTCACAGTTATGCTAACAGTTTTTTTTATGCAAGGAAATCAAAAGAAGTTTTCAGTACAACTAACATGCCTTTTCTAGTACATAATAATTGCTAACTAATATGAGACAAATAAATGGCAGTATAAAATGCTTTATTTTAAAGAATTACCATTGTTTGACAGGAAACTGTTGGCTATCTACCTGGGCATTCATCAGGGCAAGATGGGCAGATAAATTACTCTTCTTTCTAGGTTGTGATGCTTTCTATCTATTCTTTGAGTTTTTTCAACTCTTGAAGATCCCATGACTCTGAAATGCTTGTCTAGAATATGGTTGTTAAAAGCTATTCTGGGGCCGGCTGTGGCTCACTTGGGAGAGTGTGGTGCTAACAACACCAAGTCAAGGGTTAAGACCCCCTTACCGGTCATCTTTTTTTAAAAAAAATAAAAAAGCTCTTCTGTGTGCTTATCCAGGCTCCAGTTTGTAACTACTTTTCTTATGTGTTCTCTGTTTCTCTTGGGCTCTAGGTATCTTCAATCACATGCCCCAATTCTATTTTAGGTATTTAAACATTTTCTCAGTTTCGGTGCCTAAGTTTTTTTCTTTTTTTAAGTCACTATGAATTCTCCTAACCCCAAGGAATAAAAATCTCTTTTCGAGGGACATAACTTAACTTCTATGCCTTTCTAATTCTTAGTTTCTATTTTCTGATGAATCATACCTCATTTGGAGTGAACTCTCTAAATTCACATTCCATAACTTCCCTCTATCATTTAACCTTAGTAAAAAAACAGTTCTGGTAATAACTGTTTGATCACTGCCTAAACATAAGGGAATACAGTAGAAATCACGGGCAGTAATTTTATATATAAATACATTTTTAAAAATTTTAATTTTTAATTGTGGTAGAATACACATAACATAAAATTTACCATCTTGACCATTTTTAAGTGTATAGTTCAGTCATTTTAAGTACATTCACACGGTTGTGAAACCAATCTCCAGAATTCTTCATCTTGCAAAACCGAAACTGTGTACCCATTAAACGACAATTCCTCATTCCCCTCTCTTCCTAGTCCCTGGCCACCATCATTCTCATTCTATTTTGTCTTTCTATGAATGTGACTATTCTAGGTACCTCATATAGGTGGAGTCATACAGTATTTGTCTTTCTATCACTAGCCTATGTTAGTAGTATAATGTCCTCAAGGTTCATCCATGTTGTAGCATGTGTCAGAATTTCCCTTCTTAAGGCTAAATAATATTCCACTGTATGTATATACTACATTTTACTTATCCATTAATCCATCAATGGACACTTGGTTTGGATATTGTGAATAATGCTGCTACAAACATGGATGTACAAATATCTCTTCAAGAACTTGTTTTCAATTCTTTTGGTTATATTTCCAGAAGAGGAATTGCTGGATCATAATATATATATACTTTAACAAACAACTTTATTAAGATGGAACTCGCATACCATTTAAATTGTACAATTCAATGGTTTTTATTAAATTCGCAGAGTTGTATGAACACTACCACAATCAAATTTTAACATACTAGTCACTCCTAAAAGAACCTCTGTACCCATTAGCAATCACTCTCATCTATAAATTGCCATGTCCCCAGTTTACATCTCCATCTTGTATACATCTCCAGATTGACATATTCTAGATATCTACTAGGCAAAACAAATTTAATGTCTTAAAATGAACCCGTTCTTTCCATACAAAACCTATTCTTCTTACAATCTTTACATCTCAAATAGAAACTTCATCAATCCAGTTGCTCAGATCAAAAATCTTAGAATCTTCCCTGCCTCCTTTCTTGCACACACTACAACTAATTACTCAATCTTGGCCAAGCCTTCAAAATATGTCCATAATCCAACCTCTTCTCATCATTTCCTCTATTACCAAACTACCTTATCTTGCATAGATTATTGCATTTATTTCCTAAGTATTCTCCTACTTCTGTCCTTGCCGTCCTACAATCTATTCTCAACACTACAGCCAGAGAGAGCCTTTTTAAAAGTACAAACATACTTCAAAAAGTTCATGGAAAAATTGAATTAGAAGATAATATGAACCTTCCATAATCTTTTTTGAAGACCCCTCATAAGTCACGTCATGTCAGTCTTCTGGCTGAATCCCTCCACTGGCTTCCTATTTCACTCAGATTAAAAGCCAAAGTCCTCCCAATGGCTCACATGGCCTTATGTGATATGGCCTCCTACTACTACTGTAACCTCATCTCCTACCAGTCTCTTGCTTTGCTCTGAGTGCTCCAGTCATGCTAGTCTACTTGCTACTTCTCTGAATATGCCAGGCATTCTCCCATCCTTGTACTCATTGCTCCTTGTATCTGGAATGCTCTTTCTCCAGACTCACAAGACTCATTCCCTCACCTCATTCAGAATGCAGCTTAAATGATCCTTTATCAGTAAGGACTTCTTGACTGCCATATTTAAAATTACAATGTGCCATATCCACCCTGTGCACCTTCTGTTTCCTTTGCCTGCTTTATTTTGCTCCAAAACTCTTATTTCCATATAGTTTTGTGCCTGATCCTGCTGCACACGATACTTCTTTCAACTTTAAACAAATTAAAAAGATACAGGGTTGAGAATCACATATTTTTTCAAAATCATATATTTTTTTATAGTATTTAAATAGAATCATAGAACCAAATAGTATTGTTTGGTAAGCTGACTTGATTTTTTTTTCATTCGAATTATGATCATCCTTCAATGTCAACAAATACTTTCACTGAAAAAGTGCAGTATCATATTCTTTCTAAAATAGTTTTAAACATTTTTTCCATTTAGGTTGCTTTTTACATTACCTTGCCGATTAACTTCATTTTGAAGTAGCTCTTCCATTGCCTCCTCTTCAGCAATATCTAAAGGTGTGTCTCCTTCACTGTTGACTGCTCCTACATGTGCTCCCTGTCCAATCAAAAATCTGTAAAATCAGAGGGAAGACAGTTAAGCAAAGACAATATCATTAAAAAAAAAACAAAAAAAAACCCAAACACTAAATGCATAACCAAAGGGAAAAGCAATAAAAACCAGGGATAGAATATGCTCTATTTAAATTTTAAAAAACTAACACAGAGAATATTTTTCCTTTTCTAAATTTATATTTCCTAATTTTTCTATAATGTACACATATTGCTTTACTAATACAAAAAAATGTTAATTTTTAATAATAATTAGGGGGAGGAGTGGGGAAAAAATAATAATTTAGAAAGGCCTTCACAGGATCATTTCATACTGCCTCCACTGAGACTTTTCATTATCTCCAATATGGACTGGTTTCCTAACTGATCCTTTTCATTATCTCCAGATGGACTGGTTTCCTAACTGATCTCCATGTTCCCAGTCTCATCCCATAAGCAAGAGTTCTTAATCTGGGGTCCGTGGGTAGAATTCAGAAGGTTCATGATACAAATATATTAAAATATTGTTTATGCTCATCATTATTTTGAAATTAGAGTAAGTTATTAGACCTAACACTAGGCCTTTTTATTTAATGTGTTACTAAAGAAGCAGACATATAACTATACAACAAATGTGGTTTTCTAATATTTTGATAAATGAATTCCAATATAACTGGCTTCTGCTGTATTTTGTTATTTTATTTTACACATCCAAAATATAATTCTAAGAAAGTATCCATAGGATTCATCAAACCTGCCAAAGAAATGGAGAAATGAAAAGGTTATTATAATCCCTTTCATCATGTCAACTGCACATATCCCAGAGTCATCTATTTAACATCACTCCCGTCAATTCCCAACTTAAAAAATCTTTGAATGGCTCTACCATGCTAGGAGAAGACATGTATGACCCTCAGTGAGCTGACATGGCCTTCTTCTTTGGCCTCATTCTTCTTTATCCCTCTATCACAGGTTAGGCTCCAGCAATATGGAACTACCTCTAGCTCTAGATTAAACCATGTTCTTTTGATATCCCTTATTTTACTTTTCCATGTATGAAGAAGAATGGGCCTTTTTCTTTATGTCCCTAACCAATATCACTCATTCATATTTTTTACAGACTACATAAAAATATTCTCATTGTGAAACAGTAAAAAATATATACAAGTACACAAAGTGGGGGAAAAAAACTCCTTTACACCTCTCCTTGTACTGTCATGTTTCCTTCCTAGAAATAACCACTATCAATCAACTGTATGGCAAAAATCTTTCCAGTACTTCTGCTATGAATTTATATGTATGTACATAATATAAACATATAAACACAGTCACTTCTGGGGTTCTTTTTGTAAAACAAAATTTAAATGGAATTACTCTAAATGGACTGGATGGAATGCAACTCAACTCTGTTTTTTTTTTTTTTTTTTTTTCCCATTTCCGGCAACGGATCCCAACCCTCAGTGTTGCCCCCGTACCGGACCAGGGACCGGCAACGGGATTGCAAACCTCGGTGTTGCTCCCACGCCTCGCTCAGCCAGTGAGCGGGAGCCGGTCTGTATGTGGGATCCGAACCCTCGGGCGGCAGCGCTGCCGCGCCTCCTAAGCGGCGCACTATCCAGTGCGCCACTGGGCCGGCCCTCAACTCTGTTTTTTGGTGGCTAGCCAGTACAGGGATAGACCTTGGTGTTATCAGCACTATGCTCTAACCAACTGAGATAACCGGCCAGCCATGCAATTCTTCCCTTCTAACAGCTGAAAATATTCCATGGCATGGCTAGATCATATTTTCATTTAATACTAACCTTTTAATGGAAATGCTCTTAAATAGACACTTGACATTATCAATCTTTAAATATTTTCCCAACATGACATAGATGAAACATCTTCTTATGCTCTTATTTGCATTTCCCAATTACACATGACTCTAAAAATATTCAGAATATATTTACTGGCATTTGTATTTCTCCTTTCATGAACTGTTTATTTACATACTTTGCTTGTATTTCTAATGTGTTCATTAATTCAACAAAGTATTTATGGAGTATCTGTCTAGTATGTTACATGCTAGGAGTATAATGGTAAGCAAAAACAAAGACCTTTCCCTCAAAGAGCTTACAGTCTAGTAAGAAAGTTAATTACACAAATACATGTAAAGCTGCAATAAGCCCTATGACAGAGAATTACGTGGTGTCTAGAGTAATAGGAAAAATTGATTTAGTTAAGTCAGGAAAGGATTCTCTGATGAATATGTAGGTAGTAACAAAGAGAACAGAGGGGCAGTATTCTTTAGGTAAGAGAAACAAATAGCACCACACCCTGGTGAGAGGAAGTATGTATGGGGGGGGGGGGGCAGTTCATTTTCCTGAGAGTAACTAAAAGAACTGATCAATCTCTATACTATCCTTCTGGAAAGAAGAATGAAAGGGTGTACACCATGAGGTTAAAAGTGTTCACCTCTAAGAGGGGGATTAGGAGATATTTGTATTGATTGTTCTGTGTTGGGGGGGAGTTGTATCCAAGTTTTCTATAATAATTTTATTTTGCAGAAGTGTATCAGACCAAAAAATGGCTACCATACCACTCTGCAGCCTCACATTTTTATACTTAATATGCTGTAAACATTTTTATGATCTTCATGAGACTTCTACAAGCAGAAATTATACTTGAAGTAAAGCAATTTTTTGTTTTTTAAAAATATAATACAAAAGTAAAACAAGAACACTTCTTTATATACTACAAATAAATGAGTCTGAAGCAGAAAAATAAGATATAAGAAGAGTAAGAAACTGTGTTATGATCCAAGAAAATATGTAATTATTCTGCCAAGGAAAATCCCAATCAAACAATTAGGAATATTTACTTAAAAATACTTCTAGTCAGGTATTAGAAATCATTCAAAGGATACAAAAACAGAAAAAAGGAATACCTCAGAGTAGCTGCAGTGCTTGAAGCAAAGGGAGCTTTATGGGAAGCAGAGTTTCAAGGAAATACCAGGCCAAAGTCAAATACAGACAATCCAAAATTTATATAAACAGGAAGGATGTTAAGAGAAACTAACATAAGTAAAGTTCCAAAACTGCTGCAGGAAGCAGGGCCTGGAGCAATCCCTGAGCCAAAAGTTTAGGTGTGTATGTCTGCATGTATACAATTCACAAACCTCTCCTGTAATCCAGAACTATCATTTGCAAATGTAAATATATAAAAAAGACATATTAAAAAAAAAAACCCTATGGCATTAATTTTTATCTACGACGAATAATTTCCAAAAGCTACCCAAAGGTTGGTTGAATGAAGAACAGCACTTTTACGTTCTGCAGAGTTTGGGTTCAGCTCCCACCTCTACCTCTTGACACCTGTGTTACATACATTAGCTTAAGCACTTGTAAGCCTAATTTATAAAATGACTTGCAGGGATGTGTGAACTTTAAATGAGTTAAAAATAAAATTAATATACTATGTGTTATCACATCATGCAAACATCACATGTAGAAAGTAATGTTTAAGACAAAAAGCAAAATAGAGGCTACCCAGAATAAGAGAAGTTCACTTTGAGGAACTCTGGAGATACTGAAAACAGACTGTTAGATTTCCTTCAAAACAACAAATAACCTGGGTTATTAGAAGCAGCTTTTGTGACTTCTAATTAGGAAAAATAGGCCATACTTATTTTAAGATTTCTGGGAAAGAAAAAACAAAAACAAAAACATACAGATTTTGCATAGGAGTTCCAAACAAAGTCACAAGATTGGGCTGCTTCTCTGATGTACAACTCTACTGAATGCAGTCAGGGTAAAGAAAATCAGGCCTATCTTTTCTTAACAGTGGTTAATGATTTTCTTAAGCAATACGAAGGCCAATAAAGGAGATGCCACCCAGTGCAGGATGAAATTCTTCACAAAAAAATTGTAGAAATGAAAAATGGTAAGCTGAAAGGTTTAACTGAGATTTATAATAATCAGCAACCTTGATTTAATAAATAATTTTGAACAAATGAATAAGACTCAAAATCAAGACATGAGTCAAATGGATTGTGTCTGTGCTGTATTGCTAGGGCCAGGGCCCACAGACGCTTCAAACCCGTTGTACAGACTGGGTCAAAAACCCCTCACCTGCAGGTCCATGAGCTAGGTAATAGGAAAAAGATCCTGGGAGCGGTGGGTAAAAAATTAATAGGCTTTATTCAGATGCAAGCTCAGGTAGCTAGCAGTAGCCGCCCTAGTGGCCTCCTGGGGCATCCCAAGGGCCTTGGCAGCAACAGCATCCAGCAGCAGTAGCAGCCTCCCCATGGCCCCCTTGGGGGCATCCCAGGAGTGGGGGCACTGTGGATCAGAGCCTCTGCTCCTTTATACTTGAGTCTAAAACCCAGGACACACCTAGGACACCTGGGTGCACATATGCAATTACATTCGAAATAATCAAGGAATACCTGGGCACACGTCCAAATTTATATCAAATGCTCAGCAAGATTCTGAACATCTGAGGGGCCCTGACCATTTTCCTATATTTTCCCTACATGAGTTAAGTGAAAAATCTAACGAAAGGTGTAAAGTTGTTGCAGCTAGTGATTACAACTTGGTACATTAGATAAGGTAGGATTCTATCTATGTTAATTGAATTTGGAAGACCAATTTTGATAGTCTCTATTACCTTCTCAGTTTTGTCAAAAACCAAAACACAGAAGGGATTATTTCAGAAAAGAAAATCGTTCATTTTAATAACTTGATCTTTTAATAAAAACTGTCTTTAAACTTGAAGCTAATGAAAACATAGTGAACAAAGAGACAAACACAATAATTTCAACAAGAGCTGGATATAGCTGGTGTCCAGATTTAATGTATATTTCTTATGTATTGTAGGAAAACTAATATCAAGAAGTTATTTTAACTAATACATGAATTTTAAACTATCAGAGAAAGTCAGCAAAATAGCATTGTAATAGTTATGTTTCTTGAAAATCCAAATGAATTACTCAAAGCTATCCTAGGAGGGAGAAATTATGCAAAACAAAGTAACCTGAACTTTT